ATATATATATATATATATATATATATATATATATATATATATATATACAGACTTTTGCAACCTTCAACGAGGACGAACTGGATCACTATAGTAGGGAGAAAGTAAATTCCTTGTGGTTGCAAGAATAATACGGAAAACGACGATTTATTCGTCAATGACGAACAAATCGTAGTTTTCCGGATTGTTTTTACGACCGCTAACAGATTGCTTTCACTACGGTGGCCTAATTTGTTTGTACTACAGGTCAAGACGATTACCATACATAAATTTCAACGATTGTCTTTTTATTTATTTATAATTACTAGATACTATCCACTTTTAGACCAATGATGCTAAATAAAAGTTGAAATAAATAAGTTGTAAGTATCATAAAATGCAATTAAAGAATAGTAGGTAAATATTATAAGTGGAGATAAACGGGAAAAAAATTGAAAGGTATTTGTATCAGTTTTCTCGTGAAACTCAAAATTATCGGTGAAGGTGATATTCGAATACGAGGCTAAGGCAAATACAAAAACTTTTTGTCAACAATGAGAACAATTGCGTGTTAGGCAACGTATATTAGCGTGTGAACTGTTGTCAATTATGGAGAATTGAAGTTAATGGGTGGCTTGAAGTCTCATTGATAGCAGTACCTTGAACAGAAGATTTCTCACAAATCAGGCAAAATTGTGAGAAAGCAATGTAACTGTAACTGTGCAGTAACAAAACGATAGTATAGTACACTTGGCCCTGTTATTGTTTAAGTTTCTTATGTTTTTTATACGTCTTTGTTTAAATATATTGTTCAAACCGTCATAGTGTATCAATTAATAATGTAATTCTAGCTTTTTGTTCGTTAATTTGTATATATATGAGCCATTTTTATTGTTCACGAAAAAAAATTCCTAAAGAAAAGAGGAAGTCGCGTTTAAAAAAATGTAATCCTTTCTCGCATTCTTATACCGGCATAGTCTCCACTGTTTGTTTCGTTGAGTTATTCGCGTTCCTCGACGTAGCAGGGGTTCTTTCGAGGTTCAAGAGGAAATTGTGCGTTTAATCATCTGTTGCAGTGACAGGAATGATGCAACGACAGAAAGAACTGTTACACCGTGTGACGGATACTGCCTCGGACCTCAGTATGTGACACTTTGATAGAACCGAGCCTCGATACCTATGGTTTTCAAACTGTTCCCACTGTGAGCCCAATCCGGCAACCATAGTGATTCCGTGGTGTTTCTTTACCACTTGTCTTGGATCTAATTAAGCAATCTAGATGGAATGAAAAAATAACGGAGGATCATGAAACATCAGGATCATGAAATATCACTTTGTTTCTACAATTGAATTAATTTAAGGCCTGTTTCCTTGGTCGAGCGTTGATCTGCAGAAACAAGTGCCAAAGAAGATCAGTGATCTCGTGGAATAAAGTTTGAAGACCTGGGTTCATACCGCGGGAGCTTGTAGATCTCTTCCAGGCTTTTAGCAATGCTTCCTCTGGGTTTCAAATCAATTCGAATTATTAGAAAAATACGCTACATACATTCTTATTACACGAATTCCTAATTTTGGAAGATTAATTCGTATTATTACCGTAAAAATCATTTACCCTGCGATCAATATTTTTTTTTTTTCTTTTCTTTCATTTCACTGACTCGATTAGATGTCCCTGTCCTTAATAACGTACCAGCAATCTAAAAGTCATGGCTACTATTAAAGCATCAATTCTCGTCTCTTATTACCTCATGGATATTTAATTCCGTTATTTCGTTAGTTCTGTTAATAGTAATTCCTGATCATATAATAATCGAAGAAGTCTTCGAAGGTTTGAGTTAAGTTTAAATGACAACGATCCTTAATTTTGATTAGTCCATCCTTGATAAAGCACCAGCAACCTGGAAATCATTTTTACCACCGGAAGAACGCTTATTTACCCCACGGTATTCATTTACCCAGCAATATTTTCATTTCCTCCGAACGCTACCCGCTGACAGTATAACAATCAAGTCCGTCACTGGACAGTTGGCTGCACTGCTTGCTTAGGGGTAATTACAAACGTGACGAGGGAAAATCGGAAGTGAAACCTCGCCGTTTCTTGTTTCTTTTCCAGTCACCAGCGCCGTAGAGAAGCCGAGGAACCTATTGATCAACGCCACCAGGGTGACCACCGGGATTAGTAAGTACGCCGAGTCGGCGCAATTTTTGTTAAATTTCTGGATTAATTAGCGAAAGGACAGTCGACAGCGCGGCGTCCAAGGGCCTCGAGTTCAAGCTGAGGAGGTTCCTCGAGAAGTTTCGTAACAGGATGCCGTACGGGATACCGGAACTAGGACTTCCGCCATTGGAACCGTTCCAGCTCGACGAGGTCGACGTAAACATTGACAACCCGGAAATAGGGAAGTAAGTTCAGAACGAGGCACTCTGGGCCTTTCACTTTCATTCTTTCTGCTGGTACGGTACGTAATTTAATTGTTTATTATCGCGATCAATCGAATTGCATTCCATCGGGTGTATTATGCAAATAGTTAAAGTTTTAAAAGGTTGGAATTCGTAATTAATCGTATGGAATTGATGTATATTGATATGGAAGGGGATATAGTAACGTCCACCAGGTTGAGACTTTAGGAGGATAGGAGAGACAAACTGTTCAATTTAAAATACTCCATTCAAAACATTCAAGGCTTTAATTTTCCTTTGTTTTTTTCTTTTTTTTTTTTTTTTTTTTTAATAATGAACTGGTAGATAACTTATTTGATTATTATTATTATTATTATTATAAATGAATTCACTGCATTGAGAATTCTTCGTAAATTGGTAAAAATATCAAAATTCATAATTATTTACATAAAGTTACCGTATCTTAATACGACAAAGGATACAGTCAACCATACAATCAGACCGAGTCTCAACCTGATGGGCATTGTCCTATTCGCTAACATAGTGACAATAGCGTTGCATTCAATAGTGGGAGAAACAAATATAACTATGACATTTCTTCAACGCCGATATATATATAAAAAAAAAAACAACAATTTAACAAATATAGTTACCTTAAACGTTTCTTCGATCCTTGTTCGCAGCCTGTCCTTGACGATCGAGAACCTGGTCATCCACAATCTCTCAACCTTCGTGATCAACAAGGCGAAACTGTCGCTCATCGGACCAACGATCATCGCCAACATATCCATTCCCCATATCTACGCTGAGGGGATGTATAACGTATGCGGAAACATCGGTGACATGCTCCAACTGAACGGCACTGGACCGTTCCAAACGGACATCTACGATTTTCAGATTTACGTGAACACTGTGCTGGGATATTCCAGAGGAATGTACCTGAAGAGCTTCTACCTAGACTTCACGTTGAGGTCCATAGAGATGAGGTTGGAGGACTTCATGGAGGATGAGAAACTCAGTCGGATAATGAGCAAGGTAAAGGCGGTGATGTTACGTAGTTAGGTACAATCTGTGTATAGAAAATCAAACTTGATTCGGCATGGGCAGGGGTGACTGAGATTCGATTAGGAGTGACTAGACATTATTGAGACTTAGTTAGACGTAACTAGACATGGGTCAGACTTAATTGAGAGTTACTAAGATTGGCTAAGATTAGTTAGGCATGGCCAGACACTTGACTCAAACTTAATTAGACGTCATCAGACATGACTCAGACTGAAATGGATTCGATCAGATATTATTCAGACTTAGTTAGCCGTAACTAGACTTGACTCAAACTTAATTAGACATAACCACGCATTATTCAGACCGAACTAAGTATAAACAGACCTGATCGATGGCTAATCAGGAATAAAACTTGACTCAGACTTAATTAGCCATAACCAGTTATGATTAGTCCTGAGATCAACGATATTATCTGGTGGAGGGAAACTGACACGGAATCCCTTTATTCGTAGGTCTTTCAGGAGCTCACTCCAAAGGCACTGGACATTATTAAACCAGACATACTTCCTGGTATACAGAGTTACGTAGCCGGCAGAGTTAACGAGACCATTCATCACCTCACTATGAGGGACATATTTAGCATCCTCGTGGGACAAAGTGAAATCCGTGATTTCGCGCACTTATTAGTGCCTTAAAGGTTTCTTTGAATTCGTCATTCTTAAATAAAATTATGCTGTAGTAATGTTTCACAATTAATGTAAACTCTTAAATTGAAAAAGAAGAGGCGAGTACAAAAGATGAACAAGGATGCGATCCAGATTTTATTAGGCACGACCAGACGTAATGGAGACTTAATTAAATATAACCAGACATGACTCAGACTTAATTAGGCATACTCAGATATTATCTCGACTTAACCAGACATAACCAGATACGAATCGGACTGAATTAGACATAATCAGGCACGATTAAATTATCAACGAGTCGTGTCTTTAATTGAAATTTTCAGCAAAGTGGAAATTTCAACGCGCTTGTGTTTATATTTATATTCAACAGTGACTAAACGTCGTTCGGCATGTCGCGCAGAGACTGACCAATTGAAAACGTCGCGATATCGGAATGTAATTAACTAATTGTGATTTCTGTATGAAAAATTGTTCGGTGCACGATGATTTTCAAATTGAAAATCCATGAAGGATGAGGCTAATTTCAGGGATTAGAGATAGACAGTAAATATTGCTTGTAAGAAATGAAAATGAAAGTAGCTAACCGTAGCAAAAAGAAAAATGATTTATTATCGTAAATAAAATTGTCTTTCGTCGTATTTCACTGTGTTAGTAATTTTCAAGATTATAAGTTTATAAGTTCGATGAGTCCACAAGTTTAAAAATTTGCAAATTTAAAAAATCGCCAAGTTTACAAATTAAAAATTTGACAAGTATACAAGTCTACAAAGTTTATAATGATAAAGAATGCTTGTTCCTGCTACAGTCAGCTGTTTCATTAGAGATTAGACGTCGAATTTTTCTCGTTCACTCGAAAAATTCAACCACGACCTAACATCAACTATATAACTTCAAATAACTAGTATTATAGCCGAAAGAATGTATATTTTTGTACGAAATCGTAACAATGACTGCTTGCCAGTACGGTACTATTATGAAAATGTAAATTCCACTGAATTTTATAATTTTCATAAATGTTTGTTTATAGGAAGACGTACAAAATTTTATATTTCATTGATGAATGAACAATGTAACGTACATATAATAACAATAGTAGGTTTGACATCTATGTAAGGGAAATTAATGACGTATGAACAAAGTAAACAAATGTAAACAAATTACTGTATACTTCAAGGTTAACTATCTCTTCAGATTTCTTTTAACGAGACACATTTCGTTGATCTACACTTTATACAAAGCAACGTTAATTCCCACTGTTTAATTTCATTTTATTATTGTTAATCTGAAAGTTATGACAATGTTGTTTAAGTGAATGTAGTACGTAGGAGATGTGTGATAGTTGGTAGTTGTGAAATAAACAAGTTTGTGCCGTAAGCGAAGAAGAGTTCAAGTTTCTGCCCGAACTTCTAAACTTTGATTAGAGAACTATACAAATCTGAACTATGATGCCGTACCTGCTTTATGCTTTTCATACCTGTAGAAGTAAAAGAAATAAACAAGTATATAAAAACGAACAAAATTGGGATAGTAAACAAGTGTATATAAACAAATAAACAAGTATAGATAAACAAGGAATAAACACTTTATATATAAATATAAAGAAACAACGCTGTTCGCTTAAGAATAAAAGAGGGTGCTTTATCGATCGATGCAATTACCAGTTCTGTCATTAGAACTACTACCGCTAGAATTACTAATCAACAGCTTAATTATACATGGTAATCGCTGTCGTTGAACATAAATCAAATTACATTGTGTTCGAACTGTTGTATGGTTGAGGCTAAGGCGATTATTAGCACGCGTTTGCACGATTGTAAAGCGGCACTTAATTCAAGGCCTAAAACTTTCTCTCTCTCTCTCTCTCTCACTCTCGAATGAATTAATCATGGGGCGCGACAACATATTCTGCATGGCTATTGCTGCGAGGTCATCGAATGCGACGGATAATAACAACACTACAAAGGAAAGGAATTCGTTCAATTTTCAGACCTCTTGTAAGGCTCGTACAATTACAGGATATATAAAAACTGAAACAATAATACAGAAAATATGAAGAAAATGTAAGAAATAATAGAGAATATATATATATATTCATAAATAAAATTTATGACTTTTGGAACCTTATAATCCAAACAATCTTGTACTTTTCTTAGTATACTCTGCAGTTTTTTAATATTTTTTTTTAAAAGATGATATATTAAGAAAAGTATGAGATTGTTTGGATTATAAGGTTCCAAAAGTCATAAATTTTATCAATTATTATTAAAACCGCGCAGTCATATACATTATAAAGATTATCGTAATATAAAACCGTGATAACCGATGCCGATGATAAGCGTTTACTGTATAGTAAGATAAATAGATTACGCGTACGGCTATCGCGACCTTGATATAATTAATTCAATTCGGCGTTGTATGTATACAGCATTGCTTCTCAACCTTTTCAGAAGCTCAAATTGAATCGGACAAATTTAATGCTAATGATATAAACATGAAAAATCAGTTAACAACCTTAACAAATATCGAACATACAAGAAAAGTGTTTCGTGCATCTTTTTACGTAGAATGTGATTACTAAATGAAAAAATATGGGTTGTGGTAAAAAAAAGGACAAAATGACCTTGAAATAACCTTGAAACGGCCACGCATTAAAAACACTAAAGGACATGTGTCGGTTTATTTCTTTTAAATCGCATGCTTTCGAGATTTGTTACAATTTCAACTTAAATGGGACACCCTGTATAATAACAATGGTATGATTATATTCCAATTGTCGACGCTCTTTTTAGTTAATTCTCAAGCGATACCACAAAAAGATCTTTCTTACAGTCACGAATGCTAGCTACGATATGCTACTAACAAATGAAATGTCTTCGAATATGATCGTATCAATGGATCGTCAGTTTCGATTCCGTTTGGTATAGATTGACGATCACTGGTATGCAATAACAACGATAGGTTTTAACAACAACTCTACTTTTTATACGATAAAGAGTTTTACCGTTGTCTTTTTTTCGCGATAGTGATAAGGTTCTGATAAGTAGTAATTGTTTTTCAATATGTCATGCTTTGCGTCGCTCGTGGAAAATTGTAGGAAGGTAGACGTTGTTCGAAATGTCAATAACGAATTATTCGAATTATTCGAAATGTCAATAACGAATTATTCAATATCGACCAACAACCAACGATCAAAGAAGATAATTGGAGTTCCTATTTAAAAAATGACATTTCCCACATGAATGAAAATCATCACAATGTTAAAAAGCAAATATTTAACGACCATGAGAGTTATTCTTGCTACCTCGAAAGACTACGCAAATTCGATTGGCCTGTGCCAAGGATTTTTCTCAACGATCTACTTCCTCCTTGCATCTTTAATAAAAATTCATTGACGCATGAGGCACGGCTGCACAGACTCCGCCTATTTGATCTTCTACTTAACGTGTTCGCAACGAACCAACGAAATTTATTTATTATTCCACTCAATTTCTGTGTCACCGATTCCGTCTCTCGACTGAATGTGATGTAAACGTTGTCTCTCATGCGCCCGCGACGAAAACACGTGCAAGTTGGAATTTCAAAAACACTTTTACGTTTAATGAAAAGGAAAAATCCACGAAGAAGAAGTCAGAGAGGAGGAAGAAAAAGAAGAATTTGTGAGTTTAGGAGTCGAGAAGTGGAAAGATAAAAAATTAGAGGATTGAACAGAATGATTTCTTCTGTAATAATTGAGTAATAATTCCCAATGTAAAGTTTGTACATTACGTAAAATTGTACGCACGCGGTTGCGTCGGGAATAGTTTCCTTCCAGTTTCTTGACCGAAGGGCGAATTCCAGGCTGTGGTTAGGCTTTGAATAGTTCATTAGTTGCTGTACGAGCCTAATCATTATCCAACATGTAATTCTGATCATCCGTTGGAGTATATTTGCTCCAAATAATTATACAAATGTCTCGTTTCGTTGGAGACGTATCAGTTACATTATAAAACAAATAATTATTCAACGTTCTTCTTAGCGAAATAAGAGTAAACGTTAATCGTAATTTACTATGCAATTCATTTGCACCTGATGCTGGTAATCCTTTCGTACTGATTACCGTAGGCCAAAGGTGGCCAAGAACCTTGCTTAACAAACGTATCCCATTTAGAAATTGTGAAGCAAGCAATACACAAACAAGTGTGTGTTGTAAGTATTTTATGGATGTGAAAAGATCTGGATTAGGTCTGGGTTAAACCTAATTTCTTCTCTGTTACAGTTGATATCTTAAACCGGATCGAATTCAGTGACGTAGATAGACAAGTACACGGTTGCAATGTTTTTGCTACTTTTATTTGATAACAGGTATTCTAATTCTAATTTTAAATATCGATTAATTTAAAATTTATATATTAAAAATTTCCAAATTCGAAGGGAATAAGGTAGTCGATAAAAAGCAATCGAAACACTCTTGTCCATTATCTGCATTATCAGCAGTCGACGGTAATACCGTTATCATAGATCTCCAAATACTTCCACGTGCTATCCGGGATGCTCTCATGTTTCGAGAGCTCCAACGCCTCTGGCCAAAGTAAATTTCCCTAATGAATCCATTCGTACCCCTCTTGTCGCTCCAAACAGTCGATAAACATCGTTTCGTTACCCGTTATCGATACCTATCGCTGGATTACTCGGAACGAGGAACTTCATTTAACGGTGCGAACTGTATACATTCCGTATTATTCGATCCACTGAAACAAGATATTTCGTTTCAGATTCGAACTATTTACAAGCTTAGTGGATTATCTCCATTAAAAAAATTTTTTTCAATTTACGTATCAAATGCACTTGGGTGACTTGTCAATTTTTATAGTATATTACAAATTTGATCTATAGGTAGGTTGAATGGTATCGACAATTTTAATGTTAAATATTATTTAATACATTTATCTACGTCGATTCAATTAAAGAAATTTGGTAATTGAGACGTGTTTAAATCTCGTATTCAAGCGATAATATATAATCGATATTACATTGACGAAATTGAGAAAATTCGACATCGTATAATTCATTATACCACATCGAATAAATTAACCAATTAAATCCACCACTGACACCTACCTAAATATTCATAAATATACAACTCATCTTCAACCTCCCATCGCCCAAAATAACACACAACACCACAAACTCCCCAGTTATACGCATCCCGACCATACGAGCATCCAACCCTTACTGTCCGGCATCCCTAAGCTCCACCGATCCCTATCCACCTCTCTCCACCTCCCCTCCTCATCTCCGATCTCCCCAGGGAGACCTGAGAGGACGGACGTAGATGCTGTGCCTCATCCCGTCTCGAACATCAACAAAAGAGCAACAGTTGGTGGGGCGGCGACGTTTCGTGAAACGACGCCAAAATCGACGCTAGCGCGACGGAGACGCTAGACCACGGGGGTTGAGGGGGCGAGGTGGGAAACGAAGCGCGACTCGGAAATCGGACATGCGTGAGATTCGACGATATAGACAGAGAACAGTCGGCGATATAGAGCACCGTAGGTAGCCAGTCGCGCTTAAACGGCGCCCAGACGCGGACGTGCCCGCTAGTCACGTGATCTAGTCGATAACAAGCCATAAATCACCTGAGGGCTTCGATAGGTATCGAGTTGGGAGGTGGACGGAGACGACAGAAGAGGGTGACGCCAAGTGAATCGTAGGTGTTGTGGTGCGCGAGGGTTGTTATCCTTCTGAAAGGATCTGGCATCCCAGGTGGATCATTCGGTGACGAGGGGATGAAGGGAACGCATGGTGAGATGGATGGGGGATGAGAATAAGAGAGCAAGGTGGAAAGTGAAGGTCGGATATTCGCGGAGTGAGCTTTTGACGAGGAAGGGGTGCAGGAAGACTCCAGGAAGGATGTGTTGAGGTGGATTGGTGGTGGACTTAGGGGTGAGATTGAGGTAGGGAGAAGGTGGAAGAGAATTCCTAGGTGCAGAGACCAAGGATATCAGCAGCATTTTGTTGGTGAAGAAGAAGAAAGGACTCTTGGAAGGTGTCGAGTGAATCTTGGGTGCAGCGACTGACCCTATCATCCCTTTGCTAACAGAGGTGGTGAAAGAGAATTCCTGGGTGCAGAGACTGAGGATATCGTCCTTGTGATAGGGAAGAAGGTGGAGGACTCTTGGGAGAACGTGTCAAGTAGGTGCTGTGGAGTGTCAAGATTTTGTTGGTGAAGAAGATGAAAGGACTCTTGGAAGGTGTCGAGTGAATCTTAGGTGCAGCGACTGACCCTATCATCCCTTTGCTAACAAAGGAGGTGGAAGGACTATTTGGAACACGTGCTAAATCCTAGGGTTATTGGTTGCTGAATCTATTCTAGTTTCTTGCTTTCTGCTAGGAAAGGAGGTAAAAGGACTCTTGGAAGAGGGTGGCAAGGGAATTCTAAATGCTGTGATGTCTGTCACCATTTTGTTGGGGTAAAAAGACTATGAGAAACAGGTGTCAAGTGACTCCTAGGTGTTGCGACTGGCTCTATCCATCCATTTCTAACAGAGGGCCTGGAAAGACTCTTGGAGAAGGGTGTCGAGTGACTCCTAGGTGGAACTAACTGACTCTATCATCCTTCTGTTGACAAAGGAACACGTGTTGCAGTGGGTTGAGGTCTCAGCTCCCGACGCTAGGCATCTACCTTTGAAAAGACACAGAGATTAACCAATGAAGACACGTAGTCTTGCTTAGGACATAGAGAGGCCTGGGGTCAGTTTTAAACTCCCTTGCAGGCTTCCTTCATAGAAGGATAAATAGAGTGCCTCCTGGACATTAGCTGGTCCTCACTTTAGATCTCTTTAGATCTCTAATTAGAACTCTACAGGTTCCAGTGATCCTCTACAACCACCCTTCATCGAAGTCCTTCATTTCTAACAACCTAACCACCCGGAATGGAGTAACAAGCTTCGATTTCTATTGAAATCCGGCTATTCGAGGCCGAGGTATGAAACTAAGGACCACCAACCTAGCAGAAGACTCTTGAATTCGGCTTCGATCCTGTAGGTCTGAAAGGAACGCTTGCGGAATTCCTTGGCCTGAAAGGTCAACCCAACAGTCCTCCGAGAATGAAAGGTCTGACGCCTTAATAAAAAAAAAACAGAACAGAGAATAAAAGGCTCGAACAATTGCCAAGCATTCTTTTGAAGAGCAATCCTTCCAGCTGCGAGAAGAAGGGGACAGCGAACAGCGGGAGGGTTCAGCAAGCCTGTGTCTTTCGTTGTTTGACGTTGAAAATCTGACGAAGAGTAGTGACTTCGATCTGTGCGCAGAAAGACCGAAAACTTTACGAATGACATCATAGTTTCCTGCAGGTGGCAGAATGAGCTATCGATCTTGGGATTATGGTAAGGAAGACAACAGGTAGCTTCGGTTAGAGTCTTAAGTATCTCGAGCACACCTGGGAATCAGTGAAGAGTGTCACGTGTGGTTGGACAATCCTCAAATTGAAGAGGAATCTAGGAACCTATTAAATTAGGGAAGAGTCCTAGAAGAGCAGCTCTAAACAGTCTCTGGGGGAATTATCACCATCTAATAGGTGGCTAGGAGATGTAAGTTAAGAGAAGAGGTGTAAAAATTAGAGAGAAGTCCTAATAGAACAAGCAGTGTTCGTAGTCAGTGCTCGGTACTCTAGGAAGCTTTAAATGAGTTCATACCAAATCGGTAAAAACATACTTGACGTATCTTGTCACCGAGAGGTGTATCAAGGACCGGGAAGAGGATTGCTGTTGCGAAAGCCATATCATAAGCTTCAAGGGGTCTACAGAGGCCAAGGGTAGTGACACATACCTGAGAAATTCTCAACTCGAAAAAATCCTCAAAACAAAAATCAATTCTGACTACTTTCAAGCTATTATCAACATCCACCAGAATCCACGTGCGACAGTCAAGCCTTCAACGTACCCAACAGAATTCACTCCACCTTCGGAGATATTCTTGTATTTCTACAAAGGGCAGTACTTGACCAACTCGTCTGTTTCGTCCAAGTTTCTGTTGCTATACGCGCGAGGATGATGCTGATCCGGCAATAGAGCCCGAGATCAGCGAGTGGTCAATCGTTTCTTGGGAACCTGAACGTTTACGAGCCTCGAGTAGCGAAAACAAGTCTGCCAGGTGGGAAGACGACAGGCAGCTCTGTGACTCGTCCTTTCTTTTTTTAGGGACTGAGCTGGAAAAGTGTGTACGTATTAAGCAGGTGTTAACGTTGGATTTTGAACATTGTGGAGGACTCGGGACTCTTTATAGTGGAGAGACTAGGGATGATAATGTTTCATTGGTTGGAATATTGAAGTTTCCACGTGGAATCGTCATTGCCGTTCTGCTGGAGATTCTTAAGGAGAATTGCTGAGGTTTTGGAAACTTAAGGGAGGCTTTGGAGGAGCAGATTTGAAGGAGGACCTCTGGTGAGTAGAAGTTTTGGTTTTTTATAGATTCGTGTTTATAAATTTGAGGAATGGATAACTCATTGATGAATATTTTGAGGTGGATGGTAGTCTTCTTGAGGGATTGTGGGACTGGTGATGAGTAACTTAATGAGATTAATAACATTATTCCTGGAATGGTCAACTTTTGAACTCTTCAACTCTTCAACTTCAATCTTCAATTCTTCAATTCTTTAAATCCTCTACTTTTCAACTATTCAACTGTAAACTCCTTGGCTCTTAAAAAATGTCAACTTTCAATTTCAAACATTTCAGATTTCATCTCTTCAACTCTTCAACTTTCAGCTTTCAACTCTTCGACTTTCAACTTTCGAATGAATGATTGCACGTAATATACGGTTAGCTTTTGGCAGTTGCAACGTTAATCTCGTGTTCGGGGTTCTTTATTACAGCAAAAGTTTTCCAGAGGATAGTTCAAACGCTACATTGCCAAAGGGTCTGCTTTATTCTGAAATTGAAGTGGGTACTTGGCTAGAGGGTACTGTGAAAAACAGTCTTCCTCTCTTCTTGGAAGAGAGCGATGTTTATTTGCAACATGAGCAACTTGTAAATTGGAAACTAGATCCGACATAGTTAAGTATTATATTACAAGCGTATAGAGTATAAACAAACATACTTCTAAAAAAAAAAAGGAATCGGAATAAATGGTATAGGATCTCATAATTTTCAACGCTGCGAACATTCTTAATCTCCGAGGTAGTTGGCATCGAGAATCGATACCGATATCTTCATAGATTTTTAACATTTTCAACTTTCCCACCATTTTCATAATTTTCCAAATTTGTCAACATTATCAACCGTCGTCGTTCTCAACATTCTCGACATTTTAATCACTCGCAAGTCGTTCTTCAAATACATTTCCTTCAAAATATGAATTGGAATGAACGGTACGGGTTAGGTGAATTATCACAGAGGGCCTAGATTTTCAAATTTGAAAGTAGCCATTTGCAAAAGATGTCTTCCAGTCTTCGTTCTTGAAACAAACTGATGCTTCGTACCATGCTTCTAGTTGCGACCTAGAATTCTTCTCAGAAATCATTATCACCAGATTAGTTTGGAGTATAATACTCTATTGTAAGATCCATTGTAAGTCTTAACGTAAGAGGTCGGATAAGAGTCAACATCACGAGCGTCTCTAGGGAGGGCAGCACCGCTTCTAAGGTGAACGGTATTTAAAATAAAACGGAACAAATGTAAGCAAAATTAATTTTGTTTCTTTTTAAATAAATGGTATTCTTCCTTTTGTTATTGTGTATTATTTCATGTTCTTCCCCCTCCAATGGACCTCTCTCTTTCTCTCTCTCTCTTCTGAAACTCCCGACTAATTATTTATCCATCCTGTTCTCTGAATGTCCACACTTCGTTGAGAATTCGCGAAAAGTCTCAAGGAGAGCACTAAAATGTAAAAAATAGTGAAGCTGGCCGGCTTGTAAATAAATTCAACGATAAAAAGTAACGTATATAGCTGCCAGCGGCCGTAGAAGTTTATTAACGTCCCCAGTCGAAATTCGTCTGGGTCGAAAGCAATTTTATGTTCCTCTTGAATCGGTCATGAGATAAAATGCTATCGTAATGAGGCTGGGCTCTTAGGATCGCGTGCTGAGAGGCTAATACTTTATAAATAAACATAGAGGTCGGTGCTTCTAATCGCTCATCAGGAACACCAGTCGGGGGATTTTTAAGTAACGCTGACGCATGCTTTTCGCGGCGGTTGTTTAATCTGTTATTGTTCGCATTGAACACCAATCTAAGAGATACTCGTCGTTAAGAGGGGATTAGTTCGCACTTCAAATTGATTTTGTTCTTCTCCGCTGAAGATTAAATTGTTACTTTTCACTTCAAAGTAATTTATGTTCTTTCACGATGAGAATTCATTTCGTTACTTACGCTGAGAAAGAATATTGTTGGTTTGGAGTGGATATTAAATTCGATCTTTTAGGAAACGCTGAGAACCATCACCGTGGCGTTGTTGTGGACGTTGAATGATAAATAATCGATGTCTGAACATGTTTCAGGAGTTTAAGCATGTTTAGGATTTCAATTATATCATTTCTGTTTCAGACGTGTAAATGTATAATAATAGTTTACATAACGTTGTTTTTATAGACAATGGGAACCAGGTTTCCCATCTTCAGCCTATAATTCAACTCCTGAACTCATCAACTCATCGACTCAGCAACCTTTCGATTTTTTCTTCTTTCTCTTTTCTTCTTTCCTCTTTCTTCTCTTTTCTTTCTTCTCGAACAAGACTGAATTTGGAATATTATTCCTGTGTCTTCAGCAGAGAGAATTTCATTTCGTTTGGAACCTCATTTAGGAACAATGGCGCAACCGTACAAGAATTAATTCTCCACTGTATCGCGCACAGTGCAGTGTTAATTTGCTGGAAATTCCGTCTACAAAAGATCCAGCAATTCTGAGAGTCGCGGAGATTTTGATTCAGGGACATGTGGAACGGATGTGACGTGGTATTCGCTAAAAAATAACATATTTGTTTTCGTTACGCTACTATTTCATTCATTCCGCCTAGTGCTAATCTAGAGGTTTCATAAAACAGCAGCCAAAGCAGCAGGAATTGTTTCTTCAGCTGTAACCGCGCGTTTACAATTCCATTTTCTCGTTCGCCAATGTGTACAACGGCCGTAATTGTTTAATTGATACGCAAAAAGAAAATATTTAAAATACGTAATACAGGGTGAAGAGAGCGCTTAAAATCGCCGCCTGAATAACTTGGATGCCATTGATGATAGGAAAAAATGCATCAGGCCAAAATTATTTGGTAATATTGTATTAATTCATACAGTAATAAATTCATTTCGACGAGGATTAAAACTACCTTAAATCTTTCGTCCTTCGAACACGAAAGATTGACGTTTTCTACATTTCAATCCACTGGTTTTCACTTCCAGCGAATTTATGTAAATAAGATGCAGAGTATTCGTAAATACTCGCAATTCCATTTGTAAAAATCCATTGGAGGATTTCAATACTCGCGTATTCATCGCTTTAACTAATATTTTCAAGACGGTGGAAGACATTTTCATCGTACCAAGAATTCAGTATATGTAACATGAAAAAGAATTTTTTGAGATTTTGGTTTTTTAAAATTTAGAAACTTTGAAACTTTGAAACTTTGAAACTTTGAAACTTTGAAACTTTGAAACTTTGAAACTTAGATCCTAGGATCCTTGGATCCACAGATCCAAAGATCTAAAAATGTAAAGATCCACAGATCCTTAGATCCAAAGAACTTTACATCAAAGAATTCTTAGATCCAAAGTTTCTTACTTTCTTACATCCTTAAACTCTCAGATCCTTAGATGCTTAAATCTTTCGATCCTTGAATCCGTAGATTCTCGAATCTTTAAATCCCTAAAACTTTCTTTATTAATTTTGATTTCTCCTCGATATTATATTTCACGAGGATCATTTAAAAAAAGAAAAAAAGTTTCCTTTGCCACTCAAATGAAACGTACCACATTACACGATCCCACAAATTCATTTAAACAATATCCCATGCTATCAGTTCCATTTCTATAAAAAGTTACTCCTGCGATCCTCGTTACTTTCTCCAACCAGCTCAGCTGATAACGCCCCTAATTGGCACTGCAGGGCCCATCCATGATTCAAGATAGATCCGCAAAGGATGTCTTGGATTATTGGCTACCCCTTAACTACATCTGCCTCTAGAGGGTTGCGAAGGGCAACTTTCAACCACCTACATCAAAGATGATATCCTTTCCCATGGAGTCGTAGCGAAGGGTAACTTTTTTTTTCCTGTGGTACGGGGAAAGAAACATACGCTGGAAAATTGGATCACAGGGTAGCTGGTACATGCTTCAATCATCAAGAAAAAGTTGAGAAGTTGCGCGACGATATCCACGAGAGCACGTGACTCATCGTATTAAGGCGGCAACGCGCCTTTGTTTGGTCCTTAGAGGGTATTAATTAAGCGATGACACATTGCGAGGAAAACCAATTAATACTGGTCGACGGGGTGACGTCGACGCCTTTACTTTCACCCTGTTGCCTCAACCTATCGATTCCTCGAAATGTCTCTTTGTTACCTCTCGTTAAATCATCCGTCAAACTGGGTATCGTTTGTCTGGTTGGGCTGGCAATCAGAGATCCCATGGGTGGGATGTCTTGGGTTAGAATTATCGAATAAAATTTGGAAAAATCGTAACTTTCGATTGGATGAACCGATTTCAATGATCAAAACGTGAAACTACGTGGCTTCAAGGGAAGAATTTTAAAAAAAATATGAAATTATAGGAGGAGACTATTTTTGAGTACTTTATGGCGGAGAAATGTGTCGGAAGGTGCATAAGTTTCAATAATTCGTCACTCTCTTAATATCGAACATTTTGAGTTGAAACTTTTTTCCCTTGTAGATCTTATGGAACCCTACAAAAAATGTACAGACAGTTTGTCTCTAAAGCGAGAACGTAATTTTTTAAAAATGATTGTATCATTTTCTTACAAATTCGCAAGGGGGTTTTCACCATCGATTTTCACCAAAATCTTGAATTGTCTATAAAAATTATTTTTCACTTCCTCGGTAAAAATAAGGCATGTTTCGTTGAATAACACATACAAGCAACTTGTATCATCTACGAGAAAAGAATTCCTAAAGAAATATTTTTTGGTAAAAAGTGATCCTTTAAAAAAAATATGATAAACGAAAAGTAGTACAGTCTTCACGAGATATGATATTGTTGTCAAATATATTTTTTCGAAAAACAAATATTTCTCGAGGATCGCTATTTTTTAAATCATTTCTCTTCTCAACTTTAGAAATTAATTTTTCATAAATAATAATAGTTTCTCTTATACGTCATATATAGATACACTTATCTTATACACTTTCAATTTAGAGAAGGTACTAAAGCTGATTGGATAATAATCCCGACAATAAAAAGTTTGCAATCGAATTGTCATTAAACTCTTATTGATTTAAA